AATAAAACCCAAAAAGAAAAGGTGCATGGTTGGAACTTGGAAGGAAGTAAGGAACAGATAATCGCACCATCAAAACTTCTTCAAGCTTCTTTAATTCTTCCATGAACTCTTGTTCTTCCTTTTCCCTAGAGTCTTTGAACATGTCATCAATTCCAGGCTCCTCACAAAAGGCCTCAGTTTCTTTGAGTTGAAACTGCATTTACAATTGAAACAGAATATATGAGCACTTTTTACATCAATCATTCAAAACAATATAGATTTAATCATTAATATGAAATCATTTCTTTCCCACAAATAAACTTTTATATTGTAGAGAAATAAACTCATCCATTATTACAACACAAATAAACAGATCTTAAACAGTAGAACCTCCAGAAAATTCTCAAAGTAACATACAAGAAAACTGTGCCCATAACAAAACATAGAGCAGTTTCTGGAGAAAAAGTTAGCTGCAGCCCTAGGCCAGGAGAGTAAGAGGGAAGGTGAAAACTCAACTGTATGCTCAAGGGCTCATCACCTAGTCATGGGAGCTTCCTTTTTATCTTATTTCTTTTGGGAGCAGTTTCTGTCATGAGCTTTTATATTGCTCTTCTAAATTCGGTAGATTGTTTTTAGCATGTATTAAAAATAACTAATAACTATATATTGCTCAGTTATACCTTGAAGCCATAATCTATTATCTGATTGCATACCTCCACAAGATCGTACAAACTAACCTCATTTTTGCTTCCTAGTCCAAGCTCATCACCAGTGAACATCCTTGGCTCCACCTGCGGGGGTACCCATGATGAGGTTGAGGCCTCCTTATCATGAGCAGCCTCCCTCATTTGTATTTGTGTACCTTCATTGGTTGAGACCAGAGATCCTTGATTAGCCAGTGCAGCCGCTGACTGACCATAATTCTGGCGAGCCTCAGCCATAAACCCACCAATTGGGGGACGACTTGGAGTAGTGTAAGCAGTTGCAGGCCTCTTGCCCTGGTGGGCTTCATCAAGTTCTTCCTCTCTTTTTCTCTTTAACTCCTCTGCTCGCTCAAATGGGTTTCCCATTGCTGTCATATTCAAAACAAAAGAGTTACCCCACAAAAATTAAATTAAGGCAGCAAAGTGCACTTGCAGGTTGCAGCCCCAGGTGGGCAGGCAATGTGCACCAAAATCCCTTGGCCCATGCCAAGGTTCAAGTTGCTGTAGTGACAATTATAAAATCCCCACTTCCCCAGAGCTACTTGAATTCACCATACCTCCAAAGCTACTTGAATTCACTATATCTCCAAAGCTATTTGAATCTACAGCAGTGACACCCTCTAGTCCTCCTGTTTGAATCATTTCAAGGTTCTGCGGGCCACCTGAATTCATGGCAGTGACACCTTCTAGTCCCCCTGTTTGAAGCATTGCAAATCCAAGGTCCTGCAGGTTAAGAAAATGTTAAAACACTAGTAGTTCTATAATTAGCAATGTCAAAAACATAAATGCAACATAGCATCTATATATACCTCGCCCAAAGTTACCAACAAGTCCTGCAAGTTAATAAATTTAAATTAAAATTGAGTTAAAATGACAATTCCATGGTATGTACCAATTACAACACCATCAAAAGATAAAGCAGCAAGCTTTCTATACCTTTGAAAAAATCGGCATTTGAATTTCCTGTGGGTTAAGAAAAAGTTAAAACAGAAATTTCAGAAATAGAATAATGTCAACATTATTAAAAGAAAATGCAGCAAAATATTCCCAACCTTGCCAATGTATTGGTTTGCTAAATCTTCCTGGAAGTGGAATTTAAGAGGAGTTGGAAAGAGTCAGATAAAGAGTGATGTAATTAATGTATTAAATACTATCAAAAAAGAAAAGATGGTTGGAAGGAAGTACCTCTATAGCTTTCCCAAGCTTCTCCAATTCTTCACTAAATATTCTTTTTTCCTCTTCCTTAAAATACATTAAAACAAAAAATAGTTAAATAATAAATCAAGGGAAAGGGGAGTAAAAATATATTGTTCAATCTGTTAACTGCATATATATATATATATATATAATTACTACTGCATAAAGAAAAGTTTTGGATAAGAAACTCATGAGAAGGATCATCACACCTTTAAACAAAAGGCTTTGAACTTCTCAGTAATTTTCTCATCCTCAAAATTTCACAAACAGTTCTCACCCTTTCTGAAGACTAATGAATTCACTTTACAAATATAAAATTCATACAGAAATCCTTAATTACAAAGAAAAACTATCACTAAATTCAACGAAATAATTTGTACTTGACAATATACAAAATTAACCTTACAAACAGTAAACAGAACTCTGCAAACTATCCCGTAAAACTCCAGAGCAAGACGCTTGGCCTCAAACACCCATCATTTGTTATTCTAACAACCTTCTTATCTTGTCTACACACAAGGACAGAAACTGAACACAGTCAGTCACAGAAAACATATACATGCAACACTTTCCAGCTTCGTATTTAACCACACAAACTACTTGATGACCTGAATTAATTCACAAATTCTGCTTTTACTCACAGAAATCATGATGAATATGCTATAAAGAAAACCAAAGCTGCATTTACTTGGTAAAGAATTGCAAATGCTAGAATGAAGCTAATTAAATAAAAATCTAGACCAAGGCCTCGAATTTAACATGGACCTACCAGTAACTATGTCTGGATTGCAAACTACTAAGCTTGGCTCTGATATCGGCTACTATATACTGAAAAGCTAAATCAACATCAATTGAACTACTAAAAGCTTTTTACCTGATCTCATTCTGAATGCTATAAGAGCTCTATGAATGCTAGCTACCCTGTTTTTACCAGATTACTAGTGTTCACTAAGGCTATGCAAGGTCAATTTTAAAATCTTCCTTATGTAAGTTACAAAGCATTCTGATGGAATTTTAAAACCAATTTGATTGAATATATGCATGCTGAGGTTTTGTTAGTCACAACTCATGTCATAAGGACTACTAAATGGTCAGAGCTTAAACTTGTATCACAAAATATGCCATTCTCCAATAGACAAAAATCATCAAATAATATGAATTTATTAATTATTGCCTTTATAAATGTCCACAATCTTTTCACAGTTAAGATGCATTGCTATAGAATTATTGAGACTGAGAGAGAAAAAACATCCAAAGTTGTCATAAGCAGGGTATCTTTATAATCATCTCCTAATAATGAATCCATTTTAGTACCATAAGCACTCCCTGTCCATTGAAAGACTCATATAAAGAATTGGACATTAATTCTTCCAATCAAAGCAACAATAGAGTATAGAGCATCTCCAAATAATTAAGAAAGAGAGGCTCTACACAAGATAATACCTTTAATTAGTACTATTCTCCCCATATTGTACATTCTTATTTACTATATAATTAATTAGTACAGTACTTATGAAAAGTGAAAACACAAGCACATTTCCCTCAAACCAGCACCATGTATAGCCAAACACTAACCCCCACCCCCTCCCCACACACACACACACATTTTAGTATACACATACTTAGGTCAAAATCTAACATGATAGAAAAATCATACTACCTACATACCATCCCCAAAGCAGCTCCCACACCACTTATGGTCATCAGCATCAAAGACTAACTTAAGAGAAATTGAATATAAGATGAGTGACATGCATTTTAGTCTAGGAACAGAACATTCTATGCTTGTTCTTGTGATTGAATGTAATTAAGATAAATAACATATGTGCATGCATAAAATTTATTGCTAGCTTCTAATGATGATTTGTGTTATAAACAGATTATGTTATGCATGATCACGTAGGTGAGTGTTATGGTTTGGTTTAACATGTTATGCATGTTAATTATTTAATTATATGCTTAATCTAGTATATATGCAATTGCCTTAGAACTATGGAAGTTTACGGCCTAGCTAACCCTACGGTTTCAGAATAGTTGATCCCTTAGGGGTGTCCAATAATGGATCTCTAACTCTGTGTGCAGTAGGGATGTACTGAGATTAGCTTCATTACTAGAGTGTGTGTACATAAATACTAGTGGACAGCAGACTCCATAGTCCACTGCATAGCCATTTAGTGTATACTAATTGATTGTTTTTGGTGTTTATGTTTGTTCTGTTTTTGTTTAAGTCTCATTTACATTGAGACTAGCTAATTAAGAAAGGAATAATCATTAACCTGTTTTGTTGATACACACCATTTCAGTTGATGCCTAATTTTGTCATGAAATGCTTATGCTAACCGTCATGACTTGGTCTGTAGCATGCTGACTGTCTAAATTATGTGAAAGCAAAATCTGTGACCAGCGTTTCTATTACTCTTCTAAATTCAGTAGCTTGTTCTTAGCATGTCTTAAAATTGACTAATAACTATAAGGCTTACTTACTGGCTATCTCAAGCTCACCCTAGTGTACTCCATCTCATTTCAGACTGGTTTAAGAGGCATGTCAAGCGTATCTAACATCCTACCTCCTACTCCAGAGAGTCAGTATGTCATTTGTGAGCATTCAGTAACACAAACCTGTATGTTTACCGAAACTAGAATTAGCTCCATTATTTGGTAAGCCTTTTGTATCTTTGCTTTACTAAGTCTGTTTATAAACACTTTATGCTCATTGACTTTCAGCTACATGTAGTTTTTTTGTTAAACCTTATGTATATTTGATACTGAAACTTAGCTATTTCAGTCATGTACAAGCTTAACTATACTCCGTTCTCTTTCAAGAACTAATTAATGCTAGCTACTCTCTAGTGTTAACCAAGTCTCTGCAAAGTCGATTTCAAGATCTTGATCCTTACCTAGCCAGTTTCAAAAGATTCTGATGGAATTTTAAATCCATTTTAAAAATGATAGCATATATGCTGAGGTTTTGTTAGTCGCAACTCATAAGGAATACTACATAATTAAGCGTGGTATAGACAACAGTTAGCCAAACTTGCATCACAAAACATGCTTTTCTCGAACAGACCAAATTCATCCATTTACTATGATTAAATCCATTTACTATTTATTGCTCTTATCAATTTGCACAATCTTCCCACAGTTAAAATGCATTCATTCCTATAAGAGTTACTGATGAGGTTCAGAGAGAAAAAAAAAAAAAATCTGCTTGGGGTAACAAAAATATAATAACTCACCAGGAGGAGGAGAGCGCAACGACCTTCAGCATTTCCGGCATCGGCGCAAAGTTTCAAAAACCGGTAAGCAGACTTCGACCAGTTCTTTGCTTTAATGGGTAACATTTTCGAGGAGCCTTTGGATAACACAAGAGAATGAAGCGCCAGTCTATTTAATCTCTTGCATCTGTTACAAAAATTTTAAAAATCAGATTCAAAATTTATCCTAAAACAGACCCAGAACAGAAATTTAAAATCGTATACAGTGAATCGGCGACGTACGTCATCAGAACGGTGACGAAATCCGAAGGACAACCGGCGGAGGAGCTGAGCTTGGAGAGAATAGAAATGACTAGATCATCCGGCAAAGAATCGAACAAATCGGACTCCTCCGCCGCCATCTCCGGCGAGAATGTCTGCCGTTTCCCGCAAGGCATGTGTTCCCGGACAAATCCAAGCGCTTCACCGCTCTCTTCTCCGCCCACAAATTCTTTCTCGGCCCGTACGCGCGTAGTAAGACCCTATATAAAGGGCAGGGACGAATCGAGGAAATTTAGTTAGGGGACAAAACTTAGTGTCGAAGATTTAAATTTATAAAAATATCTTTTATGATGTTAATTTAATTTTTTAAAATTTTTTTATAAAAAGATTTATTTGTGATATTTTATTGTTATATTTTTAATAAATGTATTTATTGTAATAAAAAATAAAAATAAATGTATTAAATAATATT